CAGCTCTCTCTCGCCGCCAGGTCAGGACTGATCTTCTACCGCAAGGGTGTGCGCTCAGTGGATAAGAAGACTGGCAAGGAGATCCTCTACGACCTGGAGGACAGGGTCAACTTTGCTGTCTTCCCCTCCCTGCAAGGGGGGCCCCATAACCATGCCATCGCTGCTGTGGCTGTGGCCCTCAAACAGGTCCGTGCCAGAGCAGTGGGCTCAGGTCTGGGGGAGACCCGGGCCCCGCGCTGACGTGGTCTCCCCTGCTGTCAGGCCAGCTCACCAGCTTTCCGCCAGTACTGCCAGCAGGTGCTGAAGAATGCCAAAGCCATGGCACAGGCCCTGCTCCAGCGTGGGTACACCCTGGTGTCAGGTAATGCCTCCTTCCCTGTGCTTTTGGGGACAAGGAGGGACAAGGCTGCGGTAGGCTGTAAGTGACACCACTTGGTCTCAGTGTCCCTAGCCAGCAGTGGGGAGCGCGGGTGGGTTGGGGGGCAGAGGAGGAGGTGCAAGGCAGAACAGTGCTTAGGAGGCAGCATGGGGGCAGCGCTGCAGAGCAGGGAAGGGGCTGGGATTTGGCAGTGAGGAAAGGGGGTGGCTGAAGGTACTCAGGGCTGGCCATCACTCCTCACCACTTTTCCTTGCTCACCAGGTGGCACCGACAACCACCTGGTGCTGGTGGACCTGCGGCCCAAGGGCATCGATGGCGCACGGGCTGAGCGGGTGCTAGAGCTTGTCTCCATCACTGCCAACAAGAACACGTGCCCAGGGGACAAGAGCGCACTCACACCAGGGGGGCTGCGCCTGGGTGAGTGGACGGTACCTTCTCTGGGGGATCTTCCTGCCTCCATCCAGCCCCTTCCCTGGGGGGGGTCCCCAAGCTTTCACCCCGGGGCATCCACCCTCTATTTCACCCCTGTCTGAGGACTCCTCATGAATTTGGAGCCAGTTTCTGGCTCAGAGAGGGGCACGGGACCCCATGGAGGCCGGGACTTGGGGAGCCCCTTGGTGGGATTGGCTTCTGTGGATGGTGCCCCCAAGCAGCTCCTGGCCCTGATGGGCTCCGTCCCCCAGGTGCCCCCGCGCTGACCTCCCGCCACTTCCGCGAGGAGGATTTCCAGAGAGTTGTAGCTTTCATCGATGAGGGCATTGCGCTGGCCCTGGACATCAAGAACAAAACCAGTGAGTGAGCAGAGGCCCCTGTCTCCCCTCTTCCTGGGTGCCAGTCGGCACCTTTCCGTTTGGTGTGCAGGGACTGCACCCTGAGCTGGTGCCAGCCTCCCCCCTTGCCTGGGCGGGGAAGGGGCTGCTGTAATGTCCCTCCCCGCCCTTCTCACCCACTCGCCCTCCGCCCCCAGGCAAGCTCCAGGAGTTCAAGACCTTCTTGCTGCAGGATGCAGAGACGCAGCGGCGCTTGGCTGACCTGCGCCAGCGTGTGGAGACCTTTGCTCGTGCCTTCCCCATGCCTGGCTTCAGTGACCACTGAGCGGGGGCTCTCGCCCCTCCTGCTGGGCCAAGACTACCTGGTGGCAAGGGGAGGCTTAAAACCACCCTCTGCATTCCTCACTCCCCTTTGGGATTGGGCGCTCCCTCCCCGGGGTGGGGGGCAGTCCACCCCCGTCCTGCTCTCTGTGTTGGGGTACAGAGACACCCCCCCCCCCAGACCTTGATGGGGGAGGGACCAGTCCTTGCTCCAGCCTCATCCCCTCTGGTCCAACCAAGTCTTGCACTTTTCTACGGGGTGGGGTGGGGGTGCCAATAAAAGTGGGGGCAGAGCCTGCCTGCGTGGAGGTGTGCAGGTGCTGAGCTAAGGAGGGAGAGGTCCGGTGACAAGGCATCGTGAGGACCAGCATCCCCAGGGCCCCTCAGCACCATGCCAGGGCGCTGTGGGTGGATGTGGGGCCTGGACCCCTGGGTCCCGCTGCCCCTGATCGTGCCTCAGTGTCCCTACCCCTTCTCCTCCACCCTGTTGCTTCACCCAGTAGGCTCTGAGGGTGTGGGGGGGTTGCGCTGAGCCCCAGAGCGTACCCCTGGGGGGTGCGGTGTGGGGGCAGTGGCCCAGGCTGCCCTCTCTGTTGTCCTGCTGCTGTGGGGTGCAGAGCTGCCAGTGAGACCCCTTTGCCCCCTTGCTCCCTGTGGCACTGCCTGGCTGGAGGTAGCCCAGCCCCTGGCAGGCCAGGCAGCTGCCTGCTCCCCGGCACGTCCTGCTCTCCTGGGTCATCTGTTCCATATTTACTGGCCGTGAGTTACTCCACACAGCCTTAGCCAAACCAAACAGCACCAGGCAGGACTCCCCTGCCTGGCAAAGGCTAGGCTCCTGCCCCACCGCACATAGCCCAGGGGGAGCAGGGGCTGCCCACGTGTGCAGGACATGCATGTGCATCCACATGTGTGTGTGGGTGGGTGTGTGTGGGGGTGTGTGTGTGACCTCTTCCACCCGACACGGCTCTCTTCCTCTCCAGTGGGGCTGGGTCAGGACCCGGGTGGTCCCTGGGCAGCCCCCAGGGCCCTGAAGCATGGGAAAGCGGAAACGAGGCGCGCAGGGGCCATGAACCACAGCTTCCAGCAGGACATGAGCCCCCGCCCCGGCCTTCACCAGGAGGTGTTGAATTTCTCCTATGTTTATGGGCCTGGGAAACAGCATACATAATCCATTTTTCTGCTCCCCCCCACCCCCGCCCCAATAATTTATTACTGTCCTACAATTTTAATACAGGCAAGACGTGAGGGTGAGCAGTATAGCAGGCAGGGTGGGAGGGTGCAGGGGTACTGGCAATGGCAGGCACATTGCTCCTGGAGTGATGTAGTTTATTGCGGGGGGTGCAGCCCCACGGTTTAGGGGTGCTGAGGAGGCAGTCGGGTCTGTGTGTGCGATGACCTATTGCAGAGCTATGGGGCAGGCGAGAGCCAGGATGGCTGGTGGGGGTCTTCGCAGTGCTGCTGGGGGGTGGGCGTGCTCTCCCCTGCCCCAGCACGGCAGCGCATCCCTGGGGCAGCTCAGAAACTGGGTCGGTCCTTCTTGAGACTCTTGTAGTCAGTGGAAACTGCCAGAAACTGGAGAAGGGAGGGATGTGAGAAGGGGTCGTGTCCCCCCCGGCCGTCACTGCAGCCTGGCCTTGGCTGCAGAATGAGGAGACAGCGCTCCCCTCCCCAAATCTGAGCACAAGGAGCTGGAGGGCTCATGCGCTTCTGCCCCAGGGCTGATGCCACCTCTTCCCCTTCCCTGAGGAAAGCACAATGTTTTGCCCTAAATGTGGTCGTTCCCCCGCCCCAGAGTGCCAGGCCCCCATTTCACCCAGTGCTCACTTTATACTGGTCCGTGGGGCTCAGCTTATTCCAGGGTTCCGGATTATTTTTTCGATCCCAGCTGCAAAGGGTGATGGGGCAATCAGCACCTGTAAGGAGGGTGAGGGAGACAGGCCCTCCCCAATCCCACAGCC